TCTCTCTCTCTCTCTCTCTCTCTCTCTCTCTCTCTCTCTCTCTCTCTCTCTCTCTCCCCTGTACTAACCTGTGAAGGTGTTGCCCTGTTGCAGGTACATTGAAGACGAAGCTGGAGCTATGGCGACAGGTAAGTCTCCCTGGCCTCCCTCTCTCCAACGCTACTCTAGCTCCTAATAGCGCCCAGTGCTGAAGACTACTGCTAACGCTACTACTACTACTGCAGCGCTCCTCCAGAGTGCTGCTGCTGAATCCTGAAGACTGCCTCCTGCCCCCTTCGCTTGAAGTGCCTGGGAAGTTCCTATGAACTACCTCGCGACTATCTGCAGCCTGTAGGGCGGGCCAGTCTTATATAGTGCTGGCCCGTCCAGGAGGCTGCTCTTGCCAATGCCAAAACGTGCCAGACCCTGGCGTTAAAGTTCAACCAAGGGTTGTCTTGAAAACAGGCCAAAAATGGCTTGTGCTAAAACCCTGGTCTGGTGCCTAAGTTTCAGGGCAGGTCGATCTTATGGGGCCTGAAAATGGCCCTCCGTTTCAGGCTGAAACGACTCAGGGCCTGGAAGGCCTTGTTTTCAGCTGAAACGACATAGGGCCTGCAGGCCCTCGTTTTCAGGCTTTCAGGCTGAAACGACACAGGGCCTCTAAGCCCTTTTTTCAGGCTTTTAGGCCGAAAACGACGCAGGGCCTGTAGGATCTTGTTTTCAGGCTTTAGGCTGAGAATGCTGGTCGGGCCCTGCAGGCCCGTGTGGCTGCGCAGTATGCCACATTGGGGCTACTCTTGTGTGTTCATTGCTATTCCACCTTCTCCTCTGTCTATTCCCCCTCTACTCTCTTCGTCTTTGGTAACGAGATATTGTTTCAGATATCACTTCACGTCAACTGGAGACATTGTGCAGATCTGAGTCTACATGTGCTTCGACGTCTGATGAGTATCTTCCAGTCAGGGTTTATTACATGTGTGCCCACTGCCCATCGAATTTCCGAATATTTAAAAAAAAAAAAGTGGAGGTGGGTGATGGTAGGAGGAGGAAGAAGAAGAAGATGGTGAAGAAGAAGAAGAAGTGAAAGAAGATGGAGAGAAGATGGAGAAGAAGAAGAAGAAGACGAAGATGAAGTAGAAGAGGAAGAAGAAGGGGTGGGAGGTGTGTGCCCACTGCCCAACGGATTTCCGAATACAAAAAAAAAAAAAGTAAAGCGGAGGTGGGTAATGGCCGGAGGAAGAAGAAATAGAAGAAGAGGAAGAAGAGAAGGAAGTTGAAGTAGAAGATGGTGAAGAAGAAGAAGAAGTGGAAGAAGATGGAGAGGAGAAAAAGAAGAAGAAGAGGAAGAAGACGGGGTGGGAGGTGTGTGCCCACTGCCCGACGAATTTCCGAATATTAAAAACATAAAAAAATAATGTGGAGATGGGTGATGGTAGTGCAAGGAACATGAGTATGGACGAAGCACAAAAATCCAGAATGCAAAATCACACTGAAGTCCAAGTATTCAAAGCCAAAGCAGATAGCACATGGAACCGGGTAACCATCCCATTGAGAATGATACAGAAGAATCGTGAGTCAATGTCCATGCCCAACAGGGCAACACCAACAGCATAACCCAAATGTAGCTCTCTCTTGTGAATGGCGCCAGGCACCCTATCTACTCTACAGCCTATCCTACAACTACAGCA